TGCTTCAAGCTTGAAGAGCAGTAAGCTAAAAGTAACTGCAAACATGAGAAGTTGTATTCATGGGTCAAAGCTTCACCTGTTTTCCTCTACAGTGTTAGGCTGACAAGACCAGGCGAGACACTTCTTCCCTGAAAGATTTTTTTTTTCTCTCATCCTGTTTTGCTGAACTCTGTGGTGTCAAATTGCTAACCTACAGCTGGGACAAAAAGTTCTCTCGTTTTTTTTTGCCTGTGTACATGTGTCTGCTGCTCGAGTGCATTTTGTTCTTTGGAAAAAAGTTTCAAATTGCAACATAGTCTTGAAAGACCTTGCCTAGACACTCTGCCTGGTTTCTAGAAATGTTCTGTGATGACTTCACAGAACAAACAACTCTTTGACCTGCCAGACAAACTAAACAGCAGTCAACGCCTCTTTAATGATCTTTTTTTTTTCATAGTTTATCTGAATAATGAACCAATCATATATGACTGATATATTTGAAGCAACAGTAACCCAAAGCAAGTTGTTTTCATAACTCATTTGTTTACTTGGACTTTCTTTCTGGGCTGTTTCCTTCACCGGTTGTCTAGTGTGTGTTTTCTCCTCTGCTGTCAAATCCCATCCTGCAGTTTACAATCCCCCATTTCAAGGAACCGTGAAGGCAACACAACCCCCATCCTCCAGCCACAAAGATAATGGAATTTCACAAAGGTCACAGTAGTAAGCACCGGGTGAGCTGAAACCAGACAGAGCCATGCCTGTGCGCCTGACGTAAGTAGGATAACAAAAAACACCTCATTCAGCAGTTCTGGGGAACAGTGCAGTCACGGCTGTACCTTCTGAATTTCTTCATGGGAATCACCAGGAAAACATTTTAGAATATATGATTATTTTTTTGTCAATCCAAAATGTCATACGTTTTTGGCATTCAGTGACAATCGAAGTCTAAACCATGTTTGTGTCATACATACACTGAGCTTCACTACATATAGGAGAAAACTAGCCTGGGACTAATGTAAGATGTTCCTGCCTTAAAGCACGAAGTCAGCTGAAGAGCAGATGATTTAACGCTTCCTTTTGTTTTGGAAACTTTTTTAAGTTTCAATGTAGCCGTCATAAATGATCTGTGCTTTTGCAATGCCACTAAACACCATTTGTGTTTCCCTTTTCAAAAGCAAAAAAAAAATGTAGCAACTGGTCAAAATGAAAATCAAAAAGAAGAAATGCAATTTAAAAGTCAATAAAATTAGAGATTAGGGGCCACTGAGGTCTCATTTTGTTCAAAACAACATTCAAACTGTCAATTTAATAACTGAAAGGAAAGTTTGGCATTTTGGCAAACGTGCTTATTTGTTTCCTTGAGTTAGATGAGAAGATTGATACCACTCCTATCTGTTCCTGTGTTCTTATTGCCTGACTCACAGCAGGAAAGCAAGTTCCCAAAATGTTCCTTTAAAGATAGACTCCCTAATACCCAGCGGCTCACTCAAATCCCTGAATTTGCTCCCAGCTCACATGTTTTGAAACTTAGCTGTGAACTGTATTGCATTTAAAAACACTGACAGTCAGCTTGGTGGACATTTTGGAAATATGGGGGCGCTATTGGGCACTATGTGAGGGAGTGTGCCTTTGAATCAACCACTTCTATATATTTAAATATACCTTTAATCAATGTAGTGAGAAAATATGGAGATTGTCCCTCTCAGTGGATAAGTTATAAACACTCCTGCGATTTACTGTAAGCCTTTAATGATACAAAATCTGATGCATGTCAACTTATCATCAAGTACTTGTCAGATTCAATTACCAGTGGCAGACCGAGATAACAAACAAAAGCTTATAAGACTCAGGCAAGTTCAGTCTTGTCCTTTATAGGCTCCAATTTAGATCTTGGTGCAGTTATGAAGAGAGTAAAAAATGAAAATCTGTGTAAAGTGAGATAGTAAAGGTGTTATAGCTGTCAGTCCAACTGCCTTTTAAAAAGACTGAGGACAAAGAGGGCATGATTTATTTTGGCAGCTTCAATATGGAGGTAAACTGAATAAGCAGTTAAGTCTACTAATGCACTAAATTAAAAATTGCATATAAAGCATCATTCCTTTAACTCACGTAATTTTTAACCACAAAAACAGCCAGAGAGAGCAGCAAGGTGGCACTTCCATCAAGGATCCCCACGTTCAAGACCCTGTGTTAGCAAACGCAGAACCCCTTCCAGCACCCTTGTGAAGACAACACTCAGTTCTCCTTTAAGAGCAGAAGAATAACATCACTAATCTGGTTTTGACTTTACTGGAATGTTGGTTTGCAGAGTTTTGGTACAACAGTTCCTTACTATATTTAGACGGCACATTAGAGTTGTCAGTTCTGCATGCCACTGACGGTGCCAAGCTTGTTAGCATTCTCCTTGATATGATATGAAGATGCCATCACAGACATCAGTGTGAGGACCAGTGTTATTGCAAGCTGAGACAAACAGCTTTTTACACCGTGTTTGAAAAGGCAAGGTGGCAGGGAAAGTGGGTTGAGGCCTGGTGCTTATTGTCCGAGTGATAACAGTGATTACAGTGATCATTGAGACAATAGCTGTATTTGAATAAAGTTTGTCCCCCACTCCTAAAAGTGTCATTTTTGAGCTCATTCAGTAGTTTGTAGTGCTGTTGCATTGGATTGTGTTCCATTGTGTTGTAGTATTTTGTCCACTTTTCTACTGACCACCACGTGTAGCTTTAAAGACACAAAGGTAATTTCCCATGTACAATTTGATTTGTGCAATGACACAAAGCAAATAAAATATAACGTTTTATTAAAATCAGGCTACAATGCCACAAGAAAGACATGGCCAAAACGCCTACATGGGAAGAATGTAGTGGCATATGGTATAACTACAAGTCTGCATGAGGAGGAGAAATGTGGGTTAATGTGCTATATGGTGCAACTTATGCAACTGGATGCATAGCGAATCAAATCCAACAACTTCCAGAGAACAGAGTTCTGTGGAAAATTCCAAGATCGGGTATGTTCTCAATTAAGGCCCTCTACTCCACCATGAAATTCAAGAACCACCTCCAGGATGACTAGGCACTTTTTCAGTGCAGCCTGCCCCTGAGTTATGTATATATCAATGAAATATTCATTCACGTCCAACTTTTTAGCAAAACATATCTGACTTCTTTAAATCTATCTGTGCTTGTTGATAATCCTCACAGATTATATGTATCCTGCAGTCACATTCATGCTGAGTTCAGTCAGGATAAAAGGAACTATTTTAAATGAATGGACAGCATTGGATTGAAGCTCTCAAATTCTTTGTAAGCAAGCGTGCATTTGTCTTCTCCTTTATTTCTTCTGAAGCTATCAGGAGAGAAAAACACTTGCCTGGAAGAAACACAAACACCCAGTAAACTAACAAACCGCAATCTTTTGAATCCCAACAGGGACTTCCTGGGTGATGCTCCTTTAGCTGGTTGTTAGTACAGCTTCGGCATCCGGGTTCACCTATTGCGTCACTGCGAAAAGACACTTGCGTAACATCCACTGCAGCTTTGTTGTGACAGCTTCCAGTTGACAAACACAAAGATGCAAGATTTCACCTCCCTTTGACCGGTTTTAGGATCACTTTAAATGATTGTAGAAAGAGGTTCACGTTTGGCAACTCAAAGTACAGTGACTTCAGATGGAGATGAAACTCCTTGCAAACTGTGTTTCACAATACATACATATATGTATATGCACAGTGTAACAATTACATAACAGATCAATTAAAAGAAAATAGTTGCCAATCATAATGTTGGTTCCAGAGGTCATTCTCAATTTCAGCAACCCACAACTGTGCTTATTTTATCATTTTCTTCTCTTAATTTCTTAATCTTCATTCTGCTTTTGTTGTTGATTTTTTTTATTGTGACATATTCCTAAAATAGGGTATCATATCTTCCAGATACAGGCATTAGCATTACAGGGGACACAGTTCAATATTTCTGAGAGCTGACATTAGCTTGCATTTACCAGGTGTGTGCTGTGTGGGAAACTACGCAGGAGAAACTCCACAGAGGCTAACTTATATGTGTAGACGAGCATCTTGAGTTTAAAGCACTGCTTTGTAAAGGTGATTTGTTAAGTGCCCAATTTCCACTTGCTTGCCTGGGAAAGTGCATCGGGCGCAGACCAGCATGGTCCATTTAATTACGACATTAGTCTCACGAGAACCTCTGAATTACTTAACACATGCAGGCTGCTCAAACCCGGCCGTCTCTACAGCGTACAATAGAGGGCCACTGTCTTGTCTGTATAAAGTAACAGTGATATATATTCTGAGTGATCAGAAAACCAGCGATGGAAGGATTTGGCCTGATTAGACTGAAACATTTTAAGAAAAACCAAGAAACTGGATATCTCCATCCTCCTCACTGAATGCTTCCAACATGATTTTGAATGGTTCAAAATCATCAATAAGGGATACAGGGCCATCTACTGCCCAACAATGAAAATGCAGCTTATTTATCATCTAAGAACAAAAAGTGCACACAGTGTTCTCAAAAGTCAAACCAAATGAAAGCCATTCCCCTTTTGTATCCTTAAACCATAATACTGGACACATCTTCAAAAATAGGGTAATTCAAAACAAAGCTTCTCTGTTCCCATGGAAAGAGACAGAAGGGGCTGATACACTACATTGACTATTTTTTCCCCTAAAGGTTAATTTAACAGCAGTCTGTTATTGTAAGGCAACACACACATGTTCACAATAAGATGTATTCTAAGATAAGATGAGGTTTTTCGTATAAAGCCGGTGTTTTTCCACAGTCTGTGCTTCATGTGTTCATAAAATAACGAGTGAACAGCGACACCTGTCGGCCACTGTTAGACACTACACGGGAGCTCTAAATAGAACTGAAAGCTCCGGTGATTTGAGACGCATCATTAGTGTGATACCGAATACTGAATTTCCCATACAATATAAAGAGGCTTTCACAAAGAGACAGCTTATCTAACATTATAAAGCAGACGTTTCAAAGGAGAAACGACGATTACTTTTTACATTAATTACAATTACAATGGCTGTGTAGTAATGTGTATTAATGCTACCTTAAATAACCTTAAATTCAATTAAAATATCAATGCGCGGACAACCTGTAACACCAACATGGCGGAAGGACAACAGTGACATATTTTCAATAAACACGAAAGGGTATATACATTTGCCTTTAGAGCTGTAAGGAATACAAGAAACTTAATTAACGTCTATTGTAAGGAACCTAAAAGAGTTATCAAGTATCTAACAGTTAACTTAAACTAACATAAGTTTAGCAACATGTCTTTCTTTGGAGAAGTTAGCGGGAATTTGAAGTTCTCAGTCTCTGATACTGACTGTGTAACTTACTCAAGGGGCTATATACAAACGGGTAGTAAACTAAGTCAGTGAAAGGTAAGCTGAGCCAGACCGTTAGGGTATCATTGCAGTGCTGACTAGCAGGATAGATGCTGACCCAGAGACGGCTGCTGCCAAACTCCGCCCGTTAACACCAATGGACATCTACCGTAGAGATATACTAGACCCGGGGCTAGTATATCTCTGTGGCATCTCCTGCACCTGACCCGCACGGAGAGAGACCGGAGGGTGAGTAGTCCAGTAAGATGTTTTCAGTTTGTCAGGTCAACTGATTGCGTTTTGTTTTAATGGGAAGCAAAAATCTCTGGAGGAACATGTGCTGAAGTGTCATATTACTGCAAGGTGCGAGGTTATCTAAAGAATATAGCTGTTACATAGGCTACTGGTGAATGCAGCAGCAAAGTAGCATATAAAGTTGTGATAAAGACCCATTAGGCTTAGATGAGATTGGTAATAACATGCTCTGGGTTTTTTCATTTTTCAGGTCTTTATAAGAAGGTACAGCAATTCCCTGAACAGCCCAAAACTCATGCAGATGATTTCATGCCTCACTTCCCAAGTGACCATGGCTGATGAGATCTCCCCAGGGATGTCTGACAGGGCAGTTGTTGGAAAGATAAGTCAAAGGAAACATCAAGAAAGGCACTGTGTCACTCCTTCTCTCCCAGATGGACAGATCTTAATCAACACGAACACTGTAAAGACTGACTCTTCATTTGGTGGCATTTTTGTAGGTATGAACTCGTTTTCGGAGAGCAGTGACACTGGAATCCTTTATCTGAACCCTCTAACACCAAAGTGGTCTCTTGTAGAGAAGTTTGCTGAGCTCTCACCGGGAGAGGAAACAGGAATTAATGATGATGAAGACAGCAGCAGTGAAGAATTGTTACAATGCACTAAATATATTGAGAAAAAGAATAAAAATGGATCTAATGAGGTGCTCTTAGACGCTGCGCAAAAGGAAAGGAACTGTTCTAAATACCTCAAGAACAACAAGATACAAAGTGATGCCTCAGTCAAACACAGGACACCTAAGCTCAAAGAGCTAAATGTTGAGGAATATTCTCCTGGTGGAGATGGGAATGAGACCAAAAAGAAGAATGTAAACAGTTGTCCTGTCAAGAAATCTCTTAAAAAGTCTGTAGACGACAAGATCCCTCGACTTCTGGTAGCGATGAAAAAACGCGGTGGAGTTGACACAGAGCAGCGTCCCTTCAAGTGCACACACTGTCACTGGGCTTTCAAGAAGTTCTGCAACCTACAGAGTCACTTACAGACACACTCTGGCCTCAAGCCACATGTGTGTGATATATGTGGCAAGGCTTACTCCCACCAGGGAACGCTGCAGCAGCACAAGCGTCTACACACAGGCGAAAGACCATATCACTGCCCCTTCTGTGTGAAGACCTATATCTGGTCCTCAGATTACCGCAAGCATATCCGCACACACACTGGTGAAAAGCCCTACGTCTGTGACACTTGTGGCAAGGATTTCATTCGCTCCTCAGACCTGCGAAAGCACGAGCGGAACATGCACACTAATAACAAGCCCTTCCCATGCACGCACTGTGGCAAGACCTTCAATAAACCCCTCTCCCTCAAGCGCCATGAGCGTAAGCACCTGGGAGAAAGGCCGTTCTCCTGCCCCGACTGCGGGAAGGCCTTCGCTCTGGCCAGTCGTATGGCAGAGCACCAGAAGATCCACACAGGAGTGCGTCCGTATGTCTGCTCTGTGTGCTCCAAGTGTTTCACAAAGTCCTCCAACTTGACAGAGCACGAGGCCATCCACAGCGGAGCTCGGCCCCACAAGTGCCCAGAGTGCGGCGTGGCGTTTGCCATGGCTTCCCGCCTTGTTCGTCACCAGTACATCCACAATAAGGAGAAACTGCACAGCTGCACAGGGTGCAGCAAGAACTTTAGCAACCTAGCCACACTGAAGCTTCACCAGGAGCAGTCCTGTGCTGGGAGGATCTTTGTCTGCGTGCAGTGTGACAAATCCTTCCAGTGTGCCTCAAAGCTTGCACAGCATATTATGAACCACAAGAATGTCTGAATGTGTTTAAAGACAGGTACTGAAAACATCCATCACTGTGCCAGTACTGTTCACTCAGTTTGCCACTGTATATCCAAATGCAGAGGTATAATTTCTTTCAAATATTCAGTTTCAGACACGTCGGATCCATTCAAGGTCATAGGGCACCAGTTTGTTTATGTTAAGGTATGTATTTATGATAATTGCACCTTATGAGTTTTAAAACTTGTTACTCACGCACCCTCTTTCCCCACGGTGCTTGGTTCTTGTGAGAGTGTTGTGTGATAAAAACTGCCTCCAGCACAGCATCAACACTGGAGCTGACAGCCTAATGGTCTAATATGTAAGAGCACAAAAGAGCCTTAAGAATATAGATGCAGTTAAGAATAAGCTCAACATTGCCACTTAGGATTTAAAAAATGCATCATGGTTTATCATGATCAAAGGTTACTGATGATGTAGCATGAACCTGGTCGTATCGGTCCATCACTTCACCACCCTGAATTAACTGACACACACAGTTCCAAATCCTCAACTTTAGCATCAGTGACATTTGCCAAACATACAGTAGATGACAGATAACCAGTACTGAGGATGGGACACTGCTACATTATATTGTCCAAAGAGATTGGGGGTTGGGGGCAGCTTAGTGTTCTCAACCCACCAAACCCTGCAATACACAACAAATAACAATTACACAAATACATGTTCATTCTCAGATTCAGGCTGTTCTTATTTTCCGTTAAATTTCGGGTAGTTTTGATAAACTTTTTATTGACGCACAGGCAGCAATAGCTGTAAAAAGAAAAGTTCTTTAACATGTTCATAACTTAGGAGACAACTCCTGAGACACATTACTCTGACCACATTAATAGACCAGAAGAGTTGTAATGGTTCAGGAAAGCTTGCTAATCAGTCATTGCCTTTTTTGGCCAGTTGACTAGAAGTTAGTCCACGTTTATCTTCATTATTCGTCATTGTGTTTGACAGTACAGCGATTTCCATACTGGGTGTTTTGTTTGATATGTGGTTTTACAGTTTAGGTTCTGTAGCTTAATTTTCAATATGAACATACCAGCTTCATCATATGCAACATCAAGAAGGGGTGAAAACACAAATAAGGTCTTTTTCAAGGAGAGTGATAAAAGTGCAGAAGCAAGCCTAAAGGCTGTGACTACATAGCTGAGTTACTACAGCAGCACCTGTTGTGTAATTTGGTGACAGTAATTACCCCCAAAAAAGCACTTATAAGTCAAATCTTTGAATGTGTTATGTCTGATTGTTTTTCTTTAAATTTCAATATTCATGTAATGTCAGTTTTAAGTCTGTGGTTCTTTTTGATCTTTTTGATGCCATGCACAACAAGCATGTTTGGTTTGTATGAGGGTCTTTCAAACGTGAGCATGTAGTGGATAAACGGGAAACAACATTGCAAACCTGTAGTGTTAAAAACTTTGTTTGAAGATGAAGCTCAATAAAAGTTCTTCAACTAAATGGTAATAAAATAAAGTCATCAGCCCCTTTTATTTCATTTTTAAACTAATAATGTTTGCTTTCTGAGGAATCATTTAAAAATCAAATTTATGCAACAACAAAATTTAGAAAATTAGGATAATGATGAAGTTACATATCTGCAAAAAGAGGAACATGCCTGTATCACACTACTAGGAGAGATTTTTGGGATGCTACTCGAAACTGTCTTTATGTGCGTTCGGAATGCTTTTATGCTCTATGTTATTGGCAGGCAGTAAGTGGTGACTCAGATTCTGGTTGTCGGGGTGTGCTAAATTCCTAGGCCAAAGTGTCCCACTCACACTTGGCAACTGCAGACCAATGGTAAAAGGAGACGGCACCTGCCGTGTTGTCATTTGTTCTAGATTAAGTGAGAGGCCCCGCTTGGAATCCCAGCTATTCTATGGCAAGATTTATTATTCAATATGTGACTTTTATTTTATCATTATCAGAGTGGAACGTCATACAAAAAAAAAAAAGACTATGGATACAGCTTTTAACATTTTATAATACTGAGAAATTACTTAGGCAAAATTGCATTGATAAATTGGTAATACATTTCATGTGCTGGTACAGAGATACAAAAAAGCATAGACATAATGCATAAAGCACAAAGCCATATGAGAGGAGTAAACACCTCAGTTACACCAAAACATGTTGACACAGTCAAAAGATTCTACTTCTAAAATATATGCCCAAAGTATATATTACTGTGTTTTATATACATTTTAAAGAGCCGATGCTAGCTTTGTGGTCACACAAACATTTATGTAATAAAACTATTAATAAAGCCCTTTCTCAGATGAAAGCATTGCAACTATCATCAACACATAAACAGTTTGGTCCTAAAATAATCTGCTAGCTGAGGTTGTAGAGTGTGTTGGCTGTTTGTATGGCAGGGGTCTTTCTCAACCACCCCCCTCCCTCTCCTACCATGTGGTATCATCCATCTTGGGCAGCATGATAACGTGAGAACACATTCTTCCTTTTTTCCCCCTGTATATATATTTCTTTTTATATGATTAGAACGAAACTGTTCCCCCTAAAAGATGGTTAAAACAATAAGATATGGTTCACAATGTGCCATAAATTACAAGCAAAGTCAGGCTACAAACTATTCCTCAGCTTGGAAGATTAAAGATGGCACCTGTGAGGCTAATAATGACCAGGGCATAGGGTTACATTACAGTATATATCTCACTTAGGTGTTTTTAACCATTTAATTGTGTTTAAAGATCCAGTGTTCAACATTTAAGAGAATCTACTGGCTGAAATGGAATATATTTCTAGGTATGTTTTCATTAGTGTATAATAACCTGAAAATAAGAATTGCGTTTTTGTTTCCTTAGAATGAGCTATATTTATCTACAGAGGGAGCGGGTCCTTTTCTACAGAGTCCCCCCATGTTGAACCGCCATGTTTGTATAACGGCCCAGAACGGCCCTAGATAGGGTGTTTTGCATTTTTCATAGCCACCAGTGCATTCGCCATTGGAATTGGGACAGGAGGGTGAGGCCGAGGGCGTTGTAATCTGCAACTACACTGCTAGACATCTCTAAATCCCATACACTGGTCCGGAGTAGACCTTTTATAATAAAAAGATTAAGCTTTATAGATTTATATGAACTCTACTAAATATAACTACAATCTTGCTGATTCTCTTGCGGCACACAGCACATGGATAATCATTTATGGGTGACTTGAGCTGCAAGAGTCTGCTGATATCCAGTACCCAGTGAGCAGTTTTGGTCACAGTTGCAGTTCCAAAGTTCTTTCAGCTGCACTACAGCTCCAAGTCATATTCCTCATACATAAATGGTCATTGGGGTCAATTAAGATATCCCTTTCTCCAAATATGTCCTGAGTCCACTGCTAATTTCCCCACTGTCAGCTTTTAGGGAGTACACTTCAGCTGTTTCAGTTGCTGCAATATGAGTTACTATGCCAATACATCCAGAGTATTTCTGTATCTAATATGCAACGTGATGGTGAACAAGCTGGGGGTTTTTAAAGGGCATCCTTAAAAAAGAAATGTGGGCAGTAGGGAGCGCTATGGATCTTATTGGTGTTCACCAAGCTCAGGTGAAGCTCTCATATAGGCACTGTTAATGGTAGGTGTCCCCGCTTTGGTTTTAGTGGTGTCAGTGATCCTACAAACACAATTCAAAGTAATTAATGTGAATCCTTTAAAAACCTTAAATATGGTACAGACATTTATTTTCAAGTAACTTAATTTACCTGTGATACAGGTGAGTGGTTTCTACCCCAGCTGCTGGCCTATAAAGAAGACATGGATATTTATAGAAAACTATCATATTTGCATAGTTTTAATGTAGGTAAAATGTCATCAGTGGCAGCCAAAATCACTGCCAATGTTTTAGATTTCAGTGCTAAAAAAATGTAAGCTGCATATCATTTGCTTCAGTCCTTGAAATAGGACACGCTGGTCAGCAACTGTTAATGGCAGTAACACAGAACAGAACGGTCAGTGACCTCTGATGTCCCTGACATTAATAACATTAACAAGGAGAATATGGAACTTGTCAACAACATGTTTATGATTTGATCAGTTGGGATCTCTAAAAAATCAAGGCTGACAAGTAAAAAATATTGTTAAAATAATTTACCTGCTTTCCTTGAAAAGGGATTGATCCCCGCAGAGGAAGGCTGGGATGGAAACATGCCAGGAGAGACAATGGTAGGCGGGGGAGGAGGGCAGACACCAGTAGTAGGTGGTAACACCTGAGAAAACATACAAAAATATATATCTTAACATCACCAAATCGAAAACTGAACCTATAGATGTATATGGACTCGACTCTTACTGTCTGAGCTGGGCTTCCCTGCTCCGAACTCTCCTTTTGAACATCTTTGGGTTTTGATTTGAACCAACCACTGAACCATCCTGCCTTGGCGCTCTGCGTAAAACACAGAGAAAATGTGTCATGTGTTATATGACTGTAATGTGGTTTCACAGGTGTCAACTTGACAGGGGCTCCACCCACCTGTTTAGGAGGCTCGTCGATCTGCTCGGAGGCCTCTAAACCTTGTGGGATGTGATGATGACTGATGTCGACTTCCAGCATCTGACCCCCCATCTTCAAAGGCAAATACAGGTGACGACACACATCCAGGTAACTTTTTGGAAACATTTTCCAATGCTCAATACCAGTGGCTCCTAAATTTTTTCAAATTCAGTGTTTTCTTGATGCTTGGCCATTGTTGTATTAGCTCTTTGGTTGTTCAAATCTTGAAATATGCTATTTACATTAGTACAAATATTGTCATTTTTAGCAACAAATTACATTTTAGCAACATTAATCTTGTTTATGTTCCTTGCTTTTTTACCAGTACAAAATATTACAAACATCAACAACACTCACTGTGCCTGCTCCAGAGGATAACCCAGCCCCTGTAGGACAAATTAAATCAAAATATCACACGCACGCTGACTCCACAGACCATAGTAAATGTCTGAATATAGAAAGATAGGAATGCTGTCCGACATTAGGGGTTCTCACTTTCTGCTGCTGATGGCAGATTACTTAGAAGACAATGTGGCGGGGCAGTTCTGACTTCAGCACTATCTGTGTTATGATAACTGAAGTCTTGGCTCGTAGCTACTGTGGGCCCTGGGGGAGCATAAACCATCGGTACTGGCATTGGACAATTGGCGGGTTGCCTAGACAGAGCAACAGGGAGAGAATGATGACATAACAGGGTCCATTAGGACTGGATATCACACATACAGTAAGTTGTTGCAGTATGTAATTGAAGTGAATAAGGCATGTTGCTGCAGATTGTGTACCGGTCCTGAGCTCCGCTAACGTCCCACGACAACGTCATTTCCTCAGTGTGTCCTTCAACCCGATGCTCAGGGCTATCTTGATCCTCTGTGCCTCTGTAATAAAGGAGTTCAGGCTCTGGACTCTGGATGTCACGGCTTAGGTCATCCAAGTCTGGTTCTGTAGAAAAATTCAAATGAAAGCAACATTCTGAAGTATTATTAAAAGTATTCATAGCAGACGTACAAGAAAGCAGAGGCAGACACTGCTCTCTAGTAGGAAACAGGGCACATAGTGCATTGTTTGAGGCAATGAGAAGATTAGAAATTACCTAAGCACACTTTTCCATCCTCGTGGGCCAAAGCACTTCCCTCAGTAAGTGGCTGCTGGTATGTTTCAGTACAGGTAGTTTCGTAACTCCCGGTCTGAGTAAAATAACACATTTAGACTTTATATAGATTTAGTGTCTGAACAAGAGTCTACAGCTCCTCCATGAGGCTGAACTTAGGCACAGCAATACTGTAGCACGCTAACATACCCACAATGACAGTGCTGACATGCTGATGTTTAGCAGGTATAATAAAAAACAAAACAAACATGGACCATGCTAACATTCGCTAGTTAGCACTAAACAAAAGTAGAGCTGAGGCTGATGGGAATGTCATTTATTTTGCAAGTATTTGGTCATAAAGCAAATGCAAATGGCGGCACTAGATGAAAAGTTAAGGAAACAAAATCAAAAGTTGTGGAGACATCTCACTAAAAAACACAAATGTCAACCTCATGGCAGTGCTAGAGGAAAAGTCAGGGGATCACCTAAATCAGTGGGATATATCGTCTGGAAACCATGAGAGTTTTATGGCAATCCATGTACCTCCACTGCTTGTGCATGTGGGGCAGTGCTTGAATTGGTAAGAATGAAAGTACCAGAACGCTTAACCAGCAGCCAGCATAGCACACATGTAGCATCTGGGGGGCAGGGATTGTGTGCAGTTTTTATTATAAATACAAAGATATGGTGCACTGACCATCTGTGGACAGAGAATTTTAGAGCTGCAAGCAAATATCTAAGCTCTTATCCAGCAGCTTTCCAACTAAACTGGACCTCATTGCCTT